GGGAGGGTCAGAGGGAGAAGCAGACTCCCTGCTGAGCAGGGAGCCCGATGTGGGACTCGATCCCGGGACTCCAGGACCATGACCTGAGCCGAAGGCAGTTGCTCAACCAACTGAGCCACCCAGGCGCCCCATTGGTTCCAAATTCTTATAGGAATTAGGAATAGAGAAGGTGAGAGAGAGTGTGAGGAATTAACTCTAGCCAGCTCAACTGTCATCACTTTACCAGAAAGATCAGTGTTTTCCAGTGATGACTTTACAAGGTTTTTTTTAATCCTACGAAACATTCTAGATACCTACAATTTAAGAAACATCAGTGAAATTACAGGTACAGAAAATTTAAACAAAGGAAATTTAAACAAGGAAATTTAAAAATTAAAAAAGAATACTATGTTACATGGCATTAAAAATGTTTTTTCTTGGGGCACCTGGGTGGCTCAGTCGTTAAGCGTCTGCCTTCAGCTCAGGTCATGATCCCGGGGTCCTGGGATCGAGCTCCGCATCAGGCTCCCTGCTCCGTGGGAGGCCTGCTTCTCCCTCTCCCACTCCCCCTGCTTGTGTTCCTTCTCTCGCTTTGTCTCTGTCAATTAAATAAATAAAATCTTTAAACAAAAAAAAAAGTTTCTTCTTATTCACAAACATTGTACTCCAGTTGGTAAATTTATTTCTCATAGAGGTACAGTTTAGCAATTCTGAAATTACTATGTATACTAGGGTTGACCAAATAAATAGATATATTATAGATAATGAGAACAAGATTTCTCTTGTTAGAAGTTACAAAGAAGCAACAGGGCATTGACTGAATGAACCACACAAACCACCTCACATAGTGAAAAAACATAGATGTATATATACATGGGTTAGTATGCATATACATAACATTTCCTAGCTGTTGGCTGAGAGAGTATAGAAACAGTGACACCGTGATAGTAACAGGTACATCTAGAGCCCAGATCGTGTCTTCTAATATCATTCTCCAATAAAAAAAGAACAAAGAGTCCTTACAGAGATCATGGATTCTAGGGTTGGGACAGAGAAAATACAAGGTGAGCCTGGAGCATCTTGTAGTGCTAGAAAGTAAGGAAATGCTAAATGAATGAACAAATGAATGACTGAAGTGTGTTCAAAGAATACAGGCCTCACTTTTAGCTCCCAGCGGCCAAAGCTGGAACAAAATTTGAGCAACAAAGTAAAAAATGATAGTATTGGATCATAACCCAAAGAATGTCATTAATACCTAAGAGTCTGTGCTGATATACTTGTGGTCTACATCATGCTATAGTATCATTCTCCCCAAATTGAAAGAGGATTAGAGCCCTTAGGGATTTACTGGCTTTCAAAACAGTTACGGGACTTCAGAGAGAAAGGTTTTTTCCAAATGGGACTTTGTTTTCTCATTTTATAGTGGAAGCCTGAAGGTTAAATAGTTTGCCTACGGTAAGCCTAAACAGCTAATTCAAGTCAGATGTGCCCTGGGTCATGGTTACCTTGGTTTTGACCACTGTACCACATGGCCTAGACTGTGGGTCTGTGCAGCCTACAGTTTTCCTCGTATGGTAGAAGAGATGAGGTAATCTCTGTCATGTCAGTTTCAAAAGTTAGACTGATTTTCTTTTTTAAAAAAAGAGAATAGTCATAATTACCATGTATTTTCTAGAGTAACGATAACCAAATTGGTTGAGTTCTATAAGCATCAACATTGTATTGGTAGTCTTAATCCTTATTTCATAGTTCTAATGTTTTAACATATTTAACTTTAATAACTTATATTGAAACTCTTAAGTGGCATTTGTAGTACTTTTATATTTGGTATATATGGAAACAAAATTTTTTGTTTTTATTATAGAAGAAATTTTGGAATCCATAAGAGCCAAAAAAGGAGAAATTGATATTGTTAAAAGCCCAGAAGAAATAGAAAAGGACAAGAATGAGACCGAGAATAATAACGCCAAAGATGTTGAGAAAAGCAGAGAGGAGTTTGAAGACCAGTCCCTTGATAAAGACAGCGATGACAAAACACCGGATGATGATCCTGAGCAAGGAAAATCTGAGGGTAAAAAAATTACTTGGCTAGAAAGTAATATTTAATCAGTGTTATTTATGAAAACTTCAGTTTTACTTTCAAAATGAAAAAGAATCTCTTTATTACTAATACCTATTTAATTTTATATTTCTAAAGAAATTAGGGTATCTTTTCCCTTTTTAACATGTATAATCATTGTAATGAGTTTTATGTATTGGTGGATTGGTTATAATATACCTGTATCTCTATTTATACTTCCTAATAAGGTGCCATTTTCCTATGAGATTTGTTGGTGAAAAATCCCTATTTTTATACCAGAATATACGCTTTTGTATGTGATATGTTCATTTTTATATTAATTACTTAAACATTCTTAATATTTTAAATATTCGTAAATACTCTTTGGATTACTTACTGCAAAAGTATCCCAGAATCTGATTGCTTCAAAATGGCCATCAAATAAAAGCAGGTTTTCTTGGTGATCATTCATTTTTAGTAGTTGACTGAATGTGGCCATTTGTCCTAAAGCAATTTTAAAGGATATCTTTAAAGTTTTGTTGTGCATTTTACTGTAGAGCCAACAGAAGTTGGGGATAAAGGTAACTCTGTGTCAGCAAATCTTGGCGACAACACAACAAATGCTTCTTCAGAAGAGACTAGTCCCTCTGAAGGGAGGAGTCCCGTGGGGTGTCTCTCAGAAACCCACGATAGCAGCAACATGGCAGAGAAGAAGGTGGCATCTGAGCTCCCCCAGGATGTGCCAGGTACAGAGGGCAGTGTATCAGTGCCTCTGTAATGGGGGGAATCCTTCCCTTTTGTAGTAAAAGCTGAGTGTCACCTGAAATTTTAAAGTATGTGTTCATTCATGCTGCTTGCTTACATAAGTGCCATCCCTGACTGCTAAATTGTCACCTAACATTTGGAGTTTGACACATGTTCTTGCAGTTAGTGCTTGAAACTCATCATAATCTTCATGCTTTTTAAAGTTCATTTAGCTGGTTTTGACTAATAGACTTATTTGTATATTTTATCATCAGATCATAGTGGCAGATATTTTGGTTTTAAGTACTTACATACTAATGGCTCGGTGTTGAATGATTTGACCATTCCAATTCTGTATGTACTAACAAATTAATTTATGTTTGCATGTGCTCATGTAGTTTTTTTAAACATTTCAAACCATAATGTTATGTTAGAAAACCATTGTCACAAAACATTTTTTGCAAGATACATTTTGACATAAAAATGTGAGTTAACCAATAGTCCATATTTTAAGCTTTTTAAAATTAAAATTATACTTGAAGTAAGTTATATCACACACAAAGAATGTCATTATGCCTTTCCTTTTGCCTTTTTTTAAATGAAAAAGAATTTTTATTATAGGAGCTATATGTATTTTTAAATTTTAAATTTTAAAAAGCAAACTAGAAAATTCAGATGGAGCAAAACAAAATAAACACTGGTAATCCCACCACAAATCAAGAATTGTAGCTGATACCTTGCTGGAAATCCTTAAGGATTTTTTTCTATATAAGAATATCACATATTTTCCAACTTGCGGTACTGTCATTGCTATTGGGGATGTGATTCTGGTGTGCTGGGCAGAAAGACAGCATTAGTTAGTAGTTGGAAGACTTGATTCTAGATCTGCTTCTGCCATTAAGTTAATGTCATATTTAATCTCGCAAGGCCTCAATGTTCCTGTTTTGTATCTTGAAGGATTTTGATGATCAACAGTTCTTATGTGACTGCTTTCAACTGAGTGCTTATAAACAGTGAACTATTGCTGAAAACACCAGTGTAACATTGGATTACATGCAGGGATGTATGTGTAGGGTCCAAAAGAATCACATTAATAAGTTTACCATATTTTATACTAATGAGAGATTGGTCATTAAGATGAAGGAAAGTCTGGAAACTGTGCTAACTGGTGGAATAAATAAAGAAAACAAATTTTTGAGCCTAGAAAAGAACAGACTTGGTATCAAGAGGAAGCTAGATTGGAAATAATATAATTATCCACTGAGAGGTTGGCCAGGGGGATTAGACTTCTCTTTGAAATGTAGGATATTAAGTCAAATAAGTAGAAATAATAGGAATATTATGAGTGAATATTAACAACTTCCTTCAAATTACAGCTGTTCAGAAAATAGAAGTAACAAATTCCCTTTTACTAGATGCATTTAGTGAATACCTATCAAAGATAATTTCATTTCATGAAGGAGTAATTAGTAATGTTGATCTCTCTCTGACCTATCAGAGATGATTTCAGCAGGAGTCCATTATTGAATGGACTGGAGAATCAGAGATCTGTAATTCTATGGTTAGATCTCTAGGTCCTGTCCAATTAAAATACTGCATTATTATGACTTTAGTACCTTCATGAGTCAATTTAGAAGTGGAGTACTAGGCCCCCAAAAATGTGAACAGAATTCCATTTGTATTGGAATAATGATTATATCCTTGGTAAATACTTCTTAAAATATTCTTTCTCTTTTAGATTGATTGATATTTAGTGTAAACCTCAGTCTTACTAGTAGGTTTATATACTGGTTAGTTGTTTGGTTCTTAAACCAAACACAGTAGAGTAACAACTGTGCCCAGATTTTAGCAGACATTTGCTTTTAAGTTATTTATTACCAGTTTTTTAATGTCTCTGAGATATTTGTTCTTTTGTTACTAGAATGGTTTAAGGGAGAAACTATCTTAGTATCTGACGTATACTTTTATTTATTTATTTATTTATTTATAGATTTTATTTATTTATTTGACAGAGAGAGACACAGCGAGAGAGGGAACACAGCAGGGGGAGTGGGAGAGGGAAAAGCAGGCCTCCCGCCGAGCAGGGAGCCCGATGTGGGGCTCGATCCCAGGACCCCGGCATCATGACCTGAGCCAAAGGCAGACGCTTAACGACTGAGCCACCCGGGTGCCCTGACGTATACTTTTTTTTTTTTTTTAAGATTTTATTTATTTGACAGAGAGAGACACAGCGAGAGAGGGAACATAAGCAGGGGGAGTGGGAGAGGGAAAAGCAGGCCTCCCGCCGAGCAGGGAGCCCGATGTGGGGCTCGATCCCAGGACCCCGGCATCATGACCTGAGCCAAAGGCAGACGCTTAACGACTGAGCCACCCAGGCGCCCCCTTGACGTATACTTCTAAAGAATGCCAAATGAAATAATATATATACAAGACTTAGGGTAGTATCTACCCTAAGTACCTAAGTACCCTCAGGTACTACCTGAGTTCAGCAGATGTTGGATATTGTTATTGCTGTCTACAGCCAAGTCTTTGAAAGAGTGAGAAAGCCTAGCAAGTAAAAAATAATAAAGTGGGTGAGTTGAATTATACATTTACTGGTTCAGTAGTAGTTAACAATTCTTGTAAATGAGATCCTTCGTGTTTAAACTTTGCATTCAACTGGTTTTTTCATGTGTAGGTCACAAAAAATTGATTTAGATGAGAACCTGAACAGAAGTGTTAATAGAGTGGGAGCAAATAGCAATTGTCAGTGGCTGTAATCGGAGTGGATTGGGTTCATTAGTAGGATCAGAGTGCCAGATAGCTGAAGATGCTATAAATTCAAAACCTGACCATCTAGTAAGTCATAGCTCTCTTCTTGACTAGACTAAAAAACGAAACTAAACCTAGAAACCTGATAGTCTCAATACTTGTTTCCAAAACAGCATGAAAAGCATTTTTAAAGACATATATTAAACACACCACACCAGTGTTGAAAGAGGAGTTTGGTACATTTAAAGTAGATAAACATTTTAATAGATCCCTGATTGTAAAACTTACGACACTAGTGGGAATATATCAGTGACCAAAATAGACAAAGTCAAGGCCCTGAGGACTTTACTTTCTAGTGGGCAGTAGGCAGGCCTAATGGTAGAGTCCTGACCCTCAGAGAGGACTGTAACATGTCTCTCTGCTTCCTTCTGTTTCTCTTTCTCTATGCATTCATTTATTCAACAAATATTTATTGAGTATTTATAATGGTGCCTGGCAGTGTGCTGGGTACTTTGTGGTATCCCTGGACCACCCTCTGGTCAATAGATGAGATGTGGTATCAGAAGAACTGGAGAGGGGGATTAATTTAGGTAGATGAGAAACAATAACTGATAGAAGGCATCTCACTGGTTTTCTGTTCTAAACCTTCAGAATGTATTCAGACACCCAGTTTAATGACTCAAGCTTATCTGTAGAAGACTGTCAGATTGGAAAGTATTTGGTATGGAAAGGTGTTTTTTGGGAACTTTTTCATTAAAATACAACATATGGTAAAGTGCACAAGTGTTAAGTAAACAGCTTGATAGAACACACCTGTATAACCACGTCATGCCCCTTGTCTTGGCCACCATGATGCCCACCCCCACAAAGGCATTTACTATCTTGACTTCTATAATCATTTATCAGGATTGCCTTTATAAAAGATAATAAATGGTATCATCCAGCATATACTTTTTGATGTCAGTTTTTTATACCTCAATATATGAGAGCCATCCAAATGTTGCTTGTAATAGTAGCGCATTCTGTTTTATTGCAGCATGATAGTCTTATTATACAGATATGTAATGATTAGTTACTACTTAATTATAATTATTCGTTTTCTATGTTGATGGGCATTTGAATGGTTTCCATTTTGGGACCATTGTGACTGAATATTCTTCTACATGTTTTTTGTGCTCCTTATATGTACGTTTCTAGAGGTATAAGTCTAGTTGTGGAATTTTCCGGGTCATTCAGTTTGTGTATGCTCATCTTTAATAGATATGGCTAGTTTTCTAGAGTGGTTATACAAGTTCACACTTCATCGGTAGTCTGTGAGAGTTCTAGCTCCTCTGCATCCTTGCTAACACTTGGTATTATCAGCATCATTCATTTTTTCCCTTTCTTTTAGCCATTTTGATGGCATTGTAGGGATATCTTATTGTGGTTTGAATTTGTAGTTCCCTGGTGACTAAGGATGTTGAGCACTTTTTCGTGTGTGTGTGTGTGTGTGTATATGCATATATTTGTTAAATATATGTATACACAGGCCATTTGGCTACCTTCTTTTGTAAACTACCTGTCAGTTCCTTTGTTTTCTCTTATGTGGTGTCTTTTTTGTTTGTGGTTGTTTTCATGACAGAAGGTTAAATCCAGTCCCTCTGCTCCATCTGGAAGCAGAAGTACCTACATTGACTTTTTTTTAAGTGTTAACCCAATCTCATATTTCTGGAATAAATGCCACTTGGTTGTGATATGTTCTCATTCTTATATGCTGTTGCATCCAGTTTATTAATATTTTGTTTAGGAGTTTGCATTAATGAATGATATTGGCTTGTAACTTTCCTTTTCTAGTAATGTCCATGTCAGGCTTTGGTGTCCAGATTATATTGGCCTCATAAAATGAGTTAGGACAAGTTCCCACTTTTCCTGTTATCTGTAAGAGTTTCTGTGAGTTGGTGTTATTTATTCCTTAATTAAATAAACGGCTTTTTTAAAATTTTATTTTCCTGAAGCCACTTGGTCCTGGAATTTTCATTATGGGAAAGATTAATTTTAGATTTCATTTCTTTGGTGGATGGATTGCTGCTTGGTGTTTTGACTAAGATCAAGTGCATTTCTGGGTGCCTGGGTGGCTCAGATGGTTAAGCTTCTGCCTTCGCCTCAGGTCATGATCCCAGGGTCCTGGGATCGAGTCCCGCGTTGGGCTCCCTGCTCAGCGGGGAGCCTGCTTCTCCCTCTGCCTCTCTCTCTCTTTCTCTGTCTCTAAAAA